GCTGTTTCAAGAATTGACAAAAGTTGGGGCGGAAGGGAGTACATTATTAATTTCTTCTTAAAGTCAAATTTTTATTAGGTACCAATTTATGAAGGCTGAAACTTATTTCAAAGGGTTTGTATAGCCTTAAAACTCAAGATATTCACAAAGAATGGAAAAATGATACTTATATACAAAAATTAACTTAAGCCTTTCATTTTCATCTGGTTTTAATGTTTTTCACAGGAAAATAAAACACTATTCTATCCAAGTAGCCCCCGCCTAAAACCATTTTTTTTCCAGCACCTAATATCAACCCTGATATACAGAACCTATTTACTAATGCTGCTGAATGAAAGAATGCTCTTATGCTATATTCTTGATCTCCTGATACAATATAGAGAAACCTAAGCCAATTGATTCATAAAGCTATAACCTGAGGCACCACTACTAACCTGGTAATGGGAAAGGAAACATAGGAGGTTGAGAGAACAGCGCTGCCTTAGAAATACACTCTACACATTTAGAAATTTCAAAGAGATGTTTCATGTGAATGAATTTTCAAATAACCAATACTTATCCTTTAAATCACCATAGCTTATCTTAAAATAATTTTAATGGAAATATTTTTAAAAGGGGCTAGGTCTTCTTTCTTTGCTTTAATCTGTATATAATACAATATAACTTTTCTTCATGATTCAAGCTCATCAAAGTAAATATCAATTATTACACTGTCCCACATAGTGATTCTTCTTGGAGTTAATACAGGATTTCCAACTGTTTGTTCTTAGTAATTACTAAGTCATCCTAGACTACTTATAATAACTAGMTTCCCTACTGCCTGTTCCTCTATTATCATTTACAGGCCACCAGTACACTTATAGTCCACCAGTACTCTAGCCAAGGTTTCTGAAATACCAGTTTAGTTTTAAAAAATGTAAAACCATCACAGTCAATTGATATACTTAACCTTATACAAATTCTATGAAATCACTGCGTAGCTATTTTCACTGCTGTAAGGCCTGGCTCAAAGGCTTTTTTCTTTTTTCACTTCCCAGTTCTGAGACCTATTTTAGGCCCTTGCCAGAAGTTTGGCCACAAATTAACAATTATAGTACTATTTATTTTAGCATTATTTTCTTTACTTTTAGTATACCATAAAGAAAAATATATAAATAATAGTTATGAAACACACCAAACAACCATGTAGACTAAACAAGATACTTCATAGTATGTCTATATGGATAATAACCTAGCCAATTATTAGCTAGCAGTCGGCAAACCAGGTCTAATAGCCAAATCCAGCTCACAGATATGTGGCCCCTGAGTTAAGCAAACAAACAAACAAGAATATTCCACAGAGACTATAAATGTCTTATAGGGCTTTAATCATCTAGTACTCTACAAAAAGTCTGCTAACCTTTGACCTAAGCTATATAAACAAACACATATAAGCTACCCACTATATAATGAAGCCTTAACTATTAATGTGCCAAACAGGATGCATAATTCTTTTTTTTTTTTTTTTTTGTACCAGGGACTGAACTCAGGGGCACTCAACCACTGAGCCACATCCCCAGCCCTTTTTGTATTTATTTAGAGGCAGGGTCTGAGTTGCTTAGCACCTTGCCATTGCTGAGGCTGGATTTGAACTCACGATCCTCCTGTCTCAGCCTCCTGAACTGCTGGGGTTACAGGCATGTGCCACTGCTCCCAGTGCATAATTCTTTCATTGATGGGTTCCTAATGATACAGCCAACTTGCCAGTCCTTTCTACTTTCTAACCACAGCCTGGGGCTTAGTTAAAATCTCTACCTCACCTTTCTTTCTCCTAATACTTTTTCTTAGATGTTCTCAAGCTGGTCTCCTTGCTACTACTTCCAACTCTTGTCAACCTCTTTTGAAATGACATTTCCTTTGATATATAAATCCTTCCTAAGTTTCAAGTTTGACTTCCTCCAAATGCCAGGATTGTTCTAGCTCTCACTGTGCTTTAAATTACAATTGGTATCACACACTTAAATAGTACTATTGTATAGCTTTTRCTAATGGTCTCCTGTGTAAGTCTAGTATCCCCAATTCGCTTGTAATTACTTGAAGGCATATTACACTGCTTTTGCATTTGATAATATTTCATTATCCTCTGGGCATATACCATCTCCCAAGTGTACTCTTCTATCTTGGAGAAAAAATAGTCTGAGGACTTGTAATGTGTGATAAGTAATGGAAAACATCAAAAGATGACATCTATATGGAACCTGATGGCAGACCAGAGGCTACACTGCGAACTTGGAAAGTAAATATTAAAGACAAGCAAAATCATATTAGCAGAAAGATAGAAGATTAAGAATTAATACATAAAAAGAGACTATTGAAAAATATTCTGAAATAAAGACCAAAGTATTAAGAATATTATAAAAACTCGCAAATACATGTAAAAGAACAAAATTTGCCTTTCAACACTAATGGTCACTAATTTTTTTAACAAGTTGTGCTCAATGGAATAGACACACAAAGTATTCTAAATCTTTGGACTTACAATACTGTGTATTTATTTGAAGTCTATTAGAGATTGCTGAAAAGAAAAACAAAAACAAACAAATGAAAACCCCACTAATCACTTATCTTTCTATTACCTGGATAATAAATTTGGAAATCATGTGTATATCCTTCATCTCTAAGATACAATYTAGACGCATCTGCATGGAAAAAATGCACCCAGAATGTTTTATTTTTTTWAAAAGCCTGTTTTGGTTACATCAAATTATAGTCAATGCATTGCAAAACTACATCACCAATATTTTTAAAATATAGGCAAAATATCACATGCACAAGCCTTGGATATATAGACATTTTAAAACCCCAAATAATTTAAAATAAACAATATTATTACCTTTGCATCTATACTAAATTATAAATTAAATGTCCTTTGCCTAAGTAACTAACAAAAAATCATTAAGCTTATTAATTATGCATTCCCTCTTCCGCCCCCCCCCTGGGTTTTACAGAATCTCTCAACCCTTCACCTGCCTGGCCAGGGAAGAGGAAGAAATTTTTTCTTAATCAATAATAAAATACGCTTAATATTATATGGTAGAAAATTTAACAAGTAAAAGGGATCATTGAATTCATGGTAAAATAAATCAGCTCTCAATCACATGAAGAGAAAAAGTGACGACACAAATGGCATCAAAAAAATCTGGGTTTTTTTTTTTCCTAATGCATATCATTAATTTTGGAAGAAGCAAACCASCCTTATAATTATGCTTGACTGAGTTGAGTGTTAACCAGGAGCTTATGATTTTTCCTGAACATTCCATGATTTGGAGGATTCAGACAAAAGGAAAAAAAGGGGAGTTAATACAGAAGCATACAAGTGGCTAACGGTAGCCAGTCTGGGATAAAAATTTTCCACTTGACCTACACATAGAAAACTGGGAAGAAAACAGTAAAATTTAATGTAACAGTGCTGAAAATTTTAACATAGAAATTTTAACAAGATTGTTTTCCTGTCAAGTCATCAACCCTCTCTTCTTCCCACAATGGATGTTATTAGTGATAGCAAGAATTACCAATGGGTTAAAATGCTAAAAATAAAAATTTTTTTTATAAAAATGTGTTAAAAATATTTACCATTGCTTTCTGGTAGGCCCATTATCTGTCTCAGTGGGCACTTTAACTCATTACTTGAGAAAAATTAATTCAAAAAAGAAAATATTAAGGCAGCAAGGGACTCATTTCTCTTTAACATTTTAAGGTAGTTTAAACAAAACTGACTAGATGGTAAAAATTACAGATTTAGCAAATACACAAAAACTAAATATTTATCCAAACACAAGATCAGAGCCACAAAACTCAATTTGTTTCTGCCTAACATATGGCTCCAACTCCTGAATGGCATGTTTAGTACTTGTGCTGGTAAAAGCATATGATAAAATACTACAGAAAGAGTTCATTCTTATAATGCGCGCACACGCGCGCGCATACACACACACACACACACACACACACACACACACACACTTTGGTTTCAAGAACTAAAAATACAGACCACAGTAAGAAGCAAAATTATGAGGCTCGGTTTTAAAAGTCCACGGTGAACACATAATCAGAATTGCGCTGTTAAACCTTCCCAGTCTGTTAATCTTAATAGATGGTCAGCCACAAAGGTGTCCAAAGGAATTTACATAAAATCTCAAAAGAATATCTCTAATTCTCGATCCCTAGCACATCCAGCAATCGTCACACCCCCAACYCCAAATATCTCAAGGCTGTTTTAAAGCTAACAGTTTAATAAAAGGATTAACAACCACACTTATTAATAACATCCACCGTTCTGCTTGCAATTTGACGTCGAAATTATTTGTTTCATCTTTCTTTACCTAACGCAAAGCCGTGTCAAAAGTTCAAAGATCCAGGCTGTTAAACAGAGCGAGGACTGCAGCCTCCGGTCCACCTCCCGACTGAACAGGTGGTTAACTCACCTGGGGAGAGGAGCCGCCAGGTACAGGCAGCAGCCAAACGGGATCAAACAAGGGCGGGTTTTCGAGGTTTTAACCCCCAGGGGAGCGGGGGGAAAGCTCTTCCGAAAAGCGTTTAAGTTCCGCGGCTGTTGGGCAGCCAAAGCCGCAGGCGCTGCGGGCGCAGGGTGATCCCTTCCCGAAGGCTGCGCGCCCGCCCCCTGTCCTCCGGAGCGGCAAAGCTYGCCGCGGGCCGCCGGAGAAGGGGCGGGGGACGGAGGGGAGGGGAGGGCGGCCGCGCCCCCGCGAGCGCGTCCGGGAGAGACTCGGCTCCGGCAGGTGCGGGGCAAGTCGATGGGTCCCGAGCCCCGCCCGCTCCCCTCTGCGCAGCGCGCGCCCGGGATGGGGTGGGGCGGCCGGGCCCCTCGACGGGCCGAGCCCCGCTGGCGCCCCGGCCCTCAGCCGCAGCCTAACGGTTTCCGCGGCGCCTGCTCCGGGGCGGGACAGGCAGGGAAGGGTCGGGGTCGCCCGCCTTCGCGGAGGGAGTGCCCGCGCTCTCACCTCCGAGTCGCGCCGCTCTGAGGCGGAGGAAGGCGGCTCCCCTGGYGCCTCTTCTTCGGGTTCCTGATCGTTCTCTTTGCCTCAGTGGCAGAGCTAGCTCTCTGGGGCCGCCGCGGCCGCTGGCGCGCTGACTGTTGAGGTTGTTTTCCGATAGTGACGGCGCCGCCTCAGCCCCGCTCTTCGCTCCCTCTCCGCGTAGCTCCCGCTTTCTGTTTCACCCGAGGGACCACGAACGCCRCCGCCGCCATGCTTACTACGGAGCCGGGAGGAGGAGTCGGAGTCGGTGTGCTCAGTGCGGCTGCGCGAGCTCCGCCGACGGCGCCCCCGGCCGGCCGGGACCCCGAGCCCCAGCCCGCGTCCRCGTCTGGAGCACTCCCCCAGTGCGAATCCCCAAAGGGGCCCCCGGCGTGTGGCGTCCGAGCGCCCGCGCGCCGCTGCCCGAGCGCCGCCGCCTTCCCGGCCCCGGGCTCTCCCGAGGCCCGGTTGCGCCTGGCTGGTGGTAGCCTCCGCCGCGGCCGGGCTCGAGCCCCACTCAGGAAACGTGGAGTTAATTGACGTTCCCAGGGTCACACACTCAAGTCGCAGTACACATTTTTAAAAGCTCCCTGAGACGCACTGTGTCGGCTCCTTTCCGAAAACGCCAGAACTTAACGCTGGCAGGTGCTCTTAGACACTCCCCCAAGGACTAGGAAGCCGACCGAAGTGGGCTCGGAGGTTCCCAGTCCCGAACATCTAGAGCCTGGGATCTCGAGAACCCCCCCCCCCCCAATATTTACAGATTTACTTCAGTTGACAATAAAAGGGTTGGTTTCTTGGTCTCTTAGCCAGCCAAATCTCATGGAAACCCATTACCTTAATTTTTACCACCGCACGAAGACAAGTGAACGCGGCAGCGATTTCCTTWAACCTCAAGCAATGGGGGGCGCTGCAATAATGCCTAAGGGCCGGCTGGCGGTGCTTACTTCTGCAGTTTCCACCGGAAGGCTGGGGAGGGGGCAGCCTTTGGGACCGGGAGTCCTACCCCAGGCACCCTCCTTTCAGAAGTGGTGACGGATGAAACCAAGCTCCACGACTGGCTTTATTTAAATATATTAATTGTGCCTCCATTGAAAATGTCAATCTTTAAAAAAAAAAAAAAATTTTTACAGAAATCTGTTAAAAATGTACGTATTCACTGCATCCTCAACGCATGCCCTGGTTAATGAAATCCTTTGTTGGAGACTGATGATCATCTTGTGTGAAACCCTGGCCATACGTTAACATCCGGGGTGGGGGGATTGCAGAGGGATAAAGAATCCCTACTTCGTTGCTTTTTTTTTTCCCCCTCTTTGAAACGTTCTCATCACCTTTTCTAATATCTGTCACTTCTTCTCATTTCCTCATCTCCCTATGTATCCACTTTGATCCATCCTCTCATTCTTTGTACTTGACTGTTTATTTTTTACTCTTCTTTCTCTGCTGCTTTTCTCTATGGCTCCGGGTGATGATTGATTGGATATTTATATCTACAGCCAGCTAATGAGAGGTTTCTTTTCTTCCCATCAGTAAATAACCGAGTGACTCTGTATCAAATATGGTATCTTGAGATATTTTCATTGCTGTTCATTATCAAAAGTTCTTTCCCTGACAGAGATGTTCCCTTTTCTTAACTTCTAGATTTGGCCCTCTTCCAGACAAAATTGCTGGAAAGCTGATCATGGAATAACTGAAGTATAACTGTCTGTTTTAAAATATAAGGATGTAGTAGAGTGTGGGTGAGTTGGGTAGCTTCTCCATATAGCTGCCTAGCTTTGTATGATCTGAGGCTTAGCTAGTGGTTTCCAAACTTAAGCTAGTAATTTCCAAAGCTTCCTACTGAAGAGCTTTTTAAAAATGCAGAATTGTACAATTCACCCCTCAAGATTCTGACTACTTGGTTGAGCACAGCGTTCAAGAAATGACATTAGAAATACCAATATTTTGGGGCTGGGGTTGTAGCTTAGTGRTAGAGCACTTGTCTAGCATGTGTGAGGCACTGGGTTCAATTCTCAGCACCGCATTAAAAAAAAAAAAAGGTCCATCGAAAACTAAAAAAAATTAAAAATAAATAAATACTAATATTTTAAAAAATGTTTGGAGCATACCTACATGATAGGAAGAGCAAGAAAGAACAACTATATTGAAGGAGACTAAAGGCATATAATTTAAAAATACCATTGAAGTTGACCTAGAGATTATAGTATGATATACAATGCTGTAAGGTGGAGCAAGCCAAGTGAACAYGGGAATTTATCTTTTGTAGAAAGAATGAAACACACACTAATGTATTACCCCAGCCTGGGCCCCAGATGAGTTCTTTGAGAACACAGGGAGGGACAAGGATTTATGTTGACTTAGGACAAGTTGCTTCTCTTCTCAGTACTTTTCCTCCTTATTTCAACCCTCATCTTTCTTGAACTCTCAACAATACTCAATACGTTGACCACTATTCTTCCTTGTACATTTCTTCTTCCTTTGGCATGTATTTTCTTAGTTTTCCTCCTACTTTTCTGGGCACTGTTTCTCTAATTCTTTTGTGGATTCCTGTTCTTCTTCCTAGCTATTAAAGAGAATCTTGGAATTCAATTTTAGGTTCTTTTCTGTTTTCATTATGATCTCTTAGTTCATAAAGTATACCCACACCCACAGCTTTAGTTACCAACTATATACCAGTGATTTCCATGTAGGGTCTCTGCTCCAGTCTCTTCTCCTAAATTCCAAATCTGATAGCAACTGCTTCATCGACATGTCCACCTGATGTCTCAGAATTACAAGGTTTGGACTGAGTTCATGAACCCTTCTTGTTTTCCTTTTCCCTTATGTATTTAATTGTTCAAATCAAGCATCTATCAGTCATTCCTGGTGTCCCCCTCACCTTCATTCTCAGTTTTTTTTTTTTTTTTTTTTTGCAGCACCAGCCTCCAGTAATTTTATCTCCAGAGTCTTTCTAATAAGTCCACTTCTTTCCATCACCACCACTCTAATTTGGTCTAACTGCCATATAACCTGGGCCTCTTCATTCACTTTGTACTTTGCAGCCAAAATGCTTATTTTAAAATGCAAGTAGGACTATGTCACTTTTTATATGAAACCCTTAAACAGCTTCTCATTGTTCTAGAATAAGACTAGAGTTCTTAAAGTGGTCTATAAAACATTTGGCAGTCTCATTCATATCACTCTCCCCTTTCTTCCTGGGCAGAAGACTTTCTGGATTTTTTTTCAATTTTTTTTTTTTTTAGTTGTAGATGGACTCTACCTTTATTTTGTTCATTTGTTCGTTTATTTATTTATTTATTTATTTATTTATTTATTTATTTATTTATTTATTTTTATGTACTGAGAATTGAACCCAGTGCATCACATGTGCTAGGCAAGCATGGCGCTACTACAGAGCTACAACCCCAGCCCCTAGTCTTTTAGTTTCTCAAATGTGCAATGATTCCCAACAGCTGCAGGATCGCTATGCCTACCCTTCTCCTCCCTTTTAACTGCCTTATCTCTTACTCACCTTTCAGGTCTCAGCTTGAAAGGGACATCCTTGAGAAAAACATTTCTGACCTCTTAGACAAGTTAAAGATCCCTTGTTGATGTCAATTCTCCTACCACCAAGTTCCTTTCCTTCTTAAGATTTCCCACAGTTTATAATTACATCTTGGTATGTGTGAATACTATGTCTGTTGCTCCCTATGGGGACAAAGGAGCATGTGCATTGGGGCTTGCATAGTTCCTGGCAAATAGAAGATGCCAAATAATATTTTTTGAATGACTGAATATTGTTCTTTAAGGTTCATTCCAGGATTCTATTTTATTTTTCATTCCAGGATTCTAGAAGGTAGTTAGATTATAAAACTAGTAAATTACTGATCACTTTCAAGAGAGCAGTCTTCTGTATGAGAGGTGCAGGAATGTATTGGGAGACAATTATCCATGGGACTCTTGTATTTCTCTATGTCTTGTTAGCAAATGCACTAACAGCATTTATTCTAGACTATCTTTTTAATTATTTTTGTTTGGCAAACAACTTTTGAAAATAGAGGATATATTTGTTTATCATCCACTATAATAAAGACGTTATTTCCTTCTGGAATCCAGGTGGAGCAAGTTCTCTTGCACACCRTTATGAAAGATTGGAGTTTCCTAAGTGTATGGCTTCTCAGCTGACGCCTAAACCCCTCATTGCCTTGCATAAAACCTAGGAGGCAAGGGAACTGATTGAACATGACAAGAGTATTCCCTGCTATGCTGAGAGTGATATAGTCCTTTGACCCCAAAGACCCAGGCCTTCTGCCAACATCCAAGAAACTATGGCAGATGAAGTTAGTAGTTTGCAAGGAATATAAAATCTCAGACCCTTCAAATTTCTTGACAGGTTTTTGTGGGTAGATAGAGAGAGAGGGATATGAAGAAGTCAAACAGCAAGTGAAGACTTGTCGTTTCAGAAGTTTGAAAGAAAAAAGACTTGTTGATGAATAAGAGAAAACGAGAATACCAGATTGAAGTGGGAGAGTTGTGTTGACTAAATTCTCTAAGCTAAATTGAGGGTCCTAACTGATAATAGCCAGAGAGAACACTATTACCATTGACACTCTTTTTGGGTGCAAGGCTAGAAGAGGAAGAACCAGTTGACTTGGAGGTACACCAGTTAAAGCCAACAAAGCTTTTATCTGTCTCTGAGGAGTATGTTATGATATGGGGAAGGAGGGACAGGTTTTGGAGGGACAACTTTATTACTCAAAGCAATTTGTTTCTTTGTTTTCTGTCCTCATTTTTATCCAGAATAGCCTTGGAAGCCTTATCTCTATTTCAAAACTAAGAAAATTCATTAAAGTGATTTCCTAAGGCTGAGGTATAGTTCAGTAGTAGAGTGCTTGCTTAGCATGTGTGAGGCACTGAATTCAATTCACAGTGCCACAAGGAAAGTGACTTCCTAAACTAAAAATGTAACTCTGGCCTACAGAAGTAGTTTTTAAACTTTGACATAAATAAAAATCACCCTGGGTGATTGTTTAAGAGATAATGAATGATTCCAACTCATGCCTCTCCCCACCCACTGATTGGGATTCAGGAATCTAAATTTTATAAGTACTCTAAGCGATTCTGATAGTGGCAGTTCATGGACCATACTTTGAGTACCTAAGAGCAATGAGCTCAAAGAACAGTCTACTTTTGCAAAGATTTTTTTTTTCCCTCTGTGACATAGAATTAAAATAGAATTGACTGAGTTGTTTGAAAAAATTTTTCATCTGTAGT